TCTCTCTCTCTCTCTCTCTCTCTCTCTCTCTCTCTCTCTCTCTCTCTCTCTCTCTCTCTCTCTCTCTCTCTCTCTCTCTCTCTCTTTCGGTCTTCTTCTTCGTCGTGGTCTTCTCTGCAGGTGCGCGCGGCGGCTTCTTGAATCTCGGTGTCCGCTATGGCGGACTTCTTCTTCTTCGGCGGCCACTTCGCGATGGCGCATCACTCCCTGCGACACACAACGCAGCGCGTGGAACAGCGGGTACCAGCTCCGATACCAATGCAATCAGACTCGCTCTCATTCACACTTTACGTGCATGCAATCCGTAGCGCAGCAGACTGGCGACATGCGCCCACTCAAAACTCAGAGATATGGCAACCCCGATACGAGTTCACTTCCAATGGCTATGGCGATACAGCGCCCATACAACTCTCTGTTCGCATACAGTGGATCACCCTGGATATCCCACACGCGTCTCTCTGAACGCTCACACACACACACACTGAACACTAATTACAGCTATGGCGGTTATGGCCGCCATTACCCTATCGCTATGGCTAAGCTTCGTCTCTCTGCCCACTTCGTCTTCGGGCTCACTGCAGACCTTCTTGCACAAGTCGTTGTGGCAGCGCTTCCGCATGGCTCACGCAGGAATGAATGAATGGCTGGGCGCTGCCTCTTGATTTATACTTCTGCAGTGCATTGGTCTGGCCCCTTCCCATGCCCGAAGTGCACACAGTCCCATGCGGTACGTGCTGGACTGGACCAGGATTGACTGGGGACAAGGACTGCTGACTCAGCACGGGTAGACTCCACCACTTGACCACTTGCCTCGCCACTTGCCCACTTGTCTTTGTCCAAACGTGGGCAACTACAAAAGGCCACTACTGGGGCCTTCCGGAAGGTCGTAGACTTGGCCTTTCGTGACTGTAGCAGCTACGACCTTGACCTTTCGGGAAAGCTACAGCCATGACTGCTAGACCTGACTAAGACTCCTACTCGATAGGTCTACAAATCTAACCCATGCTACCTATGGACCCTACAACAGCCTACCAACTGCTACAAATACACAGGTCGTGGGTTCAACTCTACGGGTCGACACAGGTACTGTACACAGGTGAGGTGGGGGCTAGGGATCGAGCCCTGGGATCTGCATCAGCTACTGCGAACTGGTGAATACCGTTTCTGTATGGTCTGGACCTAGCGCATTCTTCCTATGTGTAGCGCCAAGCCCCTTCACACCTTGTGATGAGGATGATGTATGTTGGGTCTGCATTGCGACATTGGTTGGGCTAGTCATTGGTATTCTAGCATTTCGCTACGCTGTCTTGTACTACGTGAGGGAGGTCAGTCCCGGTCAGGTCAGGACTTTTATCGAAGTCTTCCACTGTGCTACAAAGCACCATTTTTGTATGAATCACGATGTACAATGCTTGTTGAGGTTCCTCCAGCACTGCATTGTCCATTCAGTCCTTTTCATCACATTGCGGATCCTTGGCTATATATGTACATCGCCCAACTGGGCATGTAACACTCCCGCAAACCCTCCACACCTCAACTCGATCAAACAGTAGGCAGGAGGAGTAAGAGCATACTCTTACTATTACCTTACCTGATGCATCTCCTAACAATTATGGCTCGATGCATTTGAAACAGTTGTATCCATCCTTAAACACACATGATGAATCTCTCTCTCTCTCTCTCTCTCTCTCTCTCTCTCTCTCTCTCTCTCTCTCTCTCTCTCTCTCTCTCTCTCTCTCTCTCTCTCT